ATTTTTTCCTGCAGAATAAATCAGAGATGCTAGTGCATTTACCGGTAAACCGAATAAAACGGGCAGGCAATCTTACATGTAATGTAATATGCCACAGGTTACCGTTGACTGTAGAAGCCAGTCAAGCAGGGAGAAGAAACACAGCTCATGTATTACGTAGACTTATAATGAAGCTAGCAGGATATAAATCATGTAGCATTTCAATAAATAGGATCTACTCTATAATATATAGTACTATATATAGTATCAAGAGTACATTAAATAGGCGATATCTCCTACTTTGATATATATGCGCAGAGTGGGTGTGTGTGTGTGTGTGTGTGTGTGTGTGTGTGTGTGTGTGTGTGTGTGCGTGCTGTGCATGCGTGCGTGTGATGCATGCGCTGTGTAGTGTGATGTGTGTGGTGTGTGTGTGTGTGTGTGTGTGTGTGTGTGTGTGTGTTGGTGTTTGTGTGTGGTGTGTGTGTGTGTGTGTGCTGCAGCATGGCATGCGTGTGTAGCATGCGTGTGATGCGTGCGTGCGCGTGTGTGTGTATGCCTGTCTGTTGTCTCTTGTGTGTGTCCGTAAGCCTGCGCGTTCGTTTGCGTGTGCGTGTACGTGTGAACACACGTGCAACGGGTATAACTCCTCCCTTCATTAAACACAAAGCTTCTAAGCGGTACACCGCTTCTTTAAACCCCGGGGTTCAAACGCGTCACGTTCTTTATGCACAACACACAACAGGGCAGGGCGCGCCCTTGTTTGTACAATGCGCTATAATAACGAGCATACGATCTTGCTAATCACTTCCATTAAAGCGGAGTTGCTATTAAGCGACGAGATCTCGCCCGGAGGCGCCGGAAAACAACACGGCGGGGCGACTAAGGTGATATAGCATGAGGAGCGATGGAAATTAAGATGTTATGCGCGCGGAAGAGAGGGGGACCCGAAGAGAGGGAGTGAAGGGAAGAGCAGAAGGTGATCACGAAAAAGTGGTGTGTTGTGTGTGTGTGTGTGTGTGTGGTGTGTGTAGTGTGTGTGTGTGTGTGTGGTGTGTGTGCAGGGGCGTAGCCAGTATGTACGCACTGTCAGGCCGGGCTACCTTTTTTTGGCCAAGTTTCTTTTTTTTTTAACACCCATAATTCAAAATGCCATAACTTGTCTGGACGGTTTATCAGAGTCTAGACAGGAACAATCTAATTGAATGAACGTAGCAAGACTAGGCTAAATTAGGCGACCTATTCTTTCTGTCATTAAACAAAAATTTTCTTTGTACGTCCGCTGCAACCGATGGTGCGCTCCGGCTCAGATGTCGTCCTACAACTTTGACAAATGCCTGGCCTAGCCTGGTGTTGTGCTGTGTGTTGTGTGTGGTGTGCTGTGTGCTGTATGAGAGAGAGAGTAGAGAGAAAGAGAGCAAGAAAAGAGGAGAGAGAGATAGAGGAGAGAGAAGGACGACGCCGGAAAGTGTGTGTGGAGGAAGGCGCAAAGTGAGCTGTGAAAGGGGAAACACGCATCCGCGCGAACACGCGCCAAAATTCGCAACCATCGGATGTTTCCCCGGCCTTTCCTTCTGACGGCAAGCAACGCTAGTCGTTGAAACTTCTCAGGTTCTCTAGCTGGTCTGGCGAAATACCGCCCTCATTTCGCGCCCGCATTTAGTAACATGAGGTGGGGAAATACGAATATTGTTCGGGATCGCAGTTACGACGAAAATGCGACGGTATTTCAGAAAGAAAAGAAACGCGAAGTGCGAGAGATCGCCGTACATCGCGCCAATTTGCATAACCGCCAGTCCGTGTACGGATTGCAACTACGTGGAAGCACAGCAGGAGCAAGCGACGGACAGAAGCATGTTGCCGTGGTGAGACAGATGAGAACAGATAAGATAGCGTGGTTCCTCTCTCTTAGTTTTAATTACACTCACTTATAGTACAGTAAGACTAATAAGGACGTTAATCCAGTAATAAGGACTAATAATCCATTCCTAGATCACTGAGCCAGTAATCACTAATAAGCTACATCCATGCATGCGGCCTATAGGCAGAGTGGAGTAAATCTCCATTGGGTATAGTTTCACTACACCACTCACTTATATTTGTCAGACTACCATGCATGGTCGGCACACGGGTTGAAATGATTCTAATCTCCTCTTCTCTCTCTCTCTCTCTCTCTCTCTCCTCATCTCTCTCGTCTCTCTCTCTCCTCTCTCTCTCTCTCTCTCTATCTATCTCTCTCATCGTCTCTCTCTCTCTCTCTCTCTCATTCTGCTCGTCTCTCTCACTCTCGCTCTCTCTCTCTCTACTCTCTTTCTCTCTCTCTTCTCACTCTCGTCCTACTCTCTCTCTCTCTCTCTCTCTCTCTCTCTCTCTCGATTTTCCATCTCTGCTCTATTTTTTTTTTCTTTTTTTTCTTCTCATCTCCCGATACCTCTCTCCCCCGACACCAACATGAATGAACACGGCTAGATATGAAAGCATCGGCCGCTTTCCCTTCCTCCCTCCTCCCTCCCTTCGACCTGTCCCTCCATTCCTCTCCCTTGCCTGGCTCCTTCCCTCCCTTCCCTCCCTTCCCTCCTCATAAACTTTTGCGCGGCTAATATGAAGTCCCTATAGGTTAGACATGTAATATGTGCGCCGTTCTGACGGTTCCTTCCTTGTCGATATATGGTTCATCTTCATCAAGCTTCATTAAGCGTGGCATTTGATGCGATCGCATGCCAAATATAGAGTATCAATTACTTATTGATCGAATTATTTTAATTATTATTATTATGTATAGTAATTATGTTATTACAAATTATATGAACTATAGATATAGAAAATACATGGTGTAACATATATAGTAGTGTGTAATTATTATATATTATTAAATTATATAAAATTAGTACTATATTTTCGAGAGAGAGAGAGAGAGAGAGAGAGAGAGAGAGAGAGAGAGAGAGAGAGAGAGAGAGACAGAATAGCACGTAATGAGTTTTCTACTCGACTAGCGAAGTTAAGCCGCTAGAAGCAAACGCGCACGCAACTGCGGCGATGCTGCGCGTGTATGTGCGTACGTGTGTGTGTGTGTGTGTGTGTGTGTGTGTGTGTGTGTGTGTGTGTGTGTTTGTACGTTTGTATGTGTGTTTGTGATGGTGACTCTACTCCGCGGCTCCGTGTGTGCGTGTAGGTGTGAGTGCGTGCGTAATAAATGCGTACGCGCGTGCGTGCATATGCCCGTGGGTGTGTGTGCGCGTGGGTGCGTGTGCGCGTGTATGCGATGGTACGCCTGTGCACGAGTATGAGTTGGTACGCGCGTGCGTGCATGTGCCCGTGTGTGCGTGTAGGTGTGAGTGCGTGCGTGCGTGCGTGCGTGCGGATGTGGATGAACGACGATTGCGTATAAGAGGCGGAAGAAGCTGAATGTTCGTGCGCTAATTACGAGATGCTAATTATCTCGCTCCTCGTAATTGACTCGTCCTTGAAATAATTACGCCAACTCAAAATATCGCCGAAGCCACAACTATAGACGCGGAAGTTAACTTTCTGAGAAGCTGACCTCTTCTTTAACCGACGCGAAAGTGGGTCCATTGGAGATGGGGAGAAGGGCGAAACCTACGGCGAGAGGGATGAAGATGCGGGCGGAGGAAGCAGAAGGAAGATGGATAGAGAGGGAGAGGAAGGAAGATGGGGGAGGGGGAGCGGGGGGAGGCCAGCCGCACATTTCAGTCCTTCAGACGGCAATTTTTGGGTTGCTATGCGAGCACCGAATTTGAGCGGTAAGTAAAGTATAGAAAGAAAGTTTGAAATGCTCATACATGAAACGTTTCGCGTTATTTTTACTCGCTTTCAATTATTAATTCTTAAACAATAGACAGCTAATGGCTGACAGCGGGAATAACATCACCTGAATGACGTCACGAGTACGTGACGGTAACGTCGGCCGTATATGCAGACAAACAAAAATCAGCGGGCGAGTAATAAACCCATATTCACACCCACAAACACGCACACACACGCGCGCGCGCAGACACACACACACACACACACACACACACACACACACACACACACACACTATACACACCACACACACACACACAACACACACACACACACACACACACACACACACAC